TACGATTTTGTCACCCGTGGGCGCCGGGGCACCAGGGAGCGCGGCGCTTACAGGACGCCGCTGCTACGTGGACCGGGCGTCTAACGCAAATAAAAGCAGTCACAAGCTGAATCGGGGGATGAACAAGAAGAATAGGATGGAGCGACGACGTCGAAGGAGGAGGATGTTGAAGACGAAGAAACACGAGGGCAAGGATGATAAGGACGACGCGGAGGGCGGGGAAAGACATTAAAGGAGGAGTGCGCGAGCAGGCGCGGCACGAGAATGACGAACCAACGGTCGGCGAACACCACCGCCGCTACACCAGCAATTGGCCGAGGGCGCGCCGCTGGATCTCCCCAGAGGGGGGGGGGGGGGGGGGGCTTCCCACCCTCCCCCCCTTTTCCTCGATCCGTCGTCGCCCCCCCCCCCGCATTCCCGATCCGTCGTCGGGAAAACCCACATCCCCCCCTCGCCCTTTTTCCTGGTCCGTCGTCGGGAACCCCCCCTCCCCTCCAATTCAAAAGGAAGGGGAGGGGGGGTCCGGACCCCCCCCTCCCCCCTCTGGCCGCCCCCCCCCCCCCCTCCCCCTCTTTCGCCACGCCGCCCCCTGACTCCGAAACCCGACCCCCGCCACCCCTAACCCTAGTCCTCACCCTAACCCAAGCCCCTGACCCTAACCCCAACCCGGAACCCCAGCCCCAAAGAGTACTCAGTAGGCATTACTGACTACTCACTACCCACTACTGACTACTCGCCACTCACTACTCACTTCTCACTATTCACGACTCACTACTCACTATCCATTACTCACTACCCACTACCCACTACTCGCTACTCACTACTCCGTACTCACTACTCCCTCCTTCCTACCCACTACTCACTACTCACTCCTCACTACCCACTATTCAATACTCACTACTCACTAATCACTCCTCACTACTATATCCACTACTAACTAATCATTACGCATTACCCACTAACCACTATCCATTACTCACTAATCACCACTCACTACTCATTGCCCACAACTCACTACTCAGTCCCACTACTCGCTACTCGCTACACCCTACTCCCTACACAGTACTGACTAAACAGTACTTAGTACTCACTACTCGCTACTCCCATACTCGCTCGTCGAAACTCGCTACTCACTCTCCGCTACTCACTACTCACTACTCACTACTTACTACTCCCTACTCACTAGTCACTAGTCACTAGTCACTACTCACTACCGACTACTCACTAATCACTAATCGTTACTCACTACCCACTACTCGCTACCCACTACTCACTACTCACTGCTCACTGCTCCCTACTCACTACTCACTACTCACTACTAACTACTCACTACTCGCTACTCCCTACTCATTACTCGCTACTCACTACCCACTACTCACAACTGACTACTCCCTACTCACTACTCACTACGCCCTACTCGCTCCTCACTACTCACTACTCGCTACTCCCTACTCGCTACTCGCTACTCACTACCCAGTGCCCACTACCCACTACTATTCATCACTACTCACTGATCACTACGCACTATTCACTACTCACTACCCACTACTCACTACTCACTACTCACTACTCACTACTAGCTACTCACTACTCACTACTCACTACTCACTACTCAATACTCACTACTCACTACTCGCTACTCACTACTCACTACTCACTACTCACTACTCACTATTCACTACGCACTACGCACTACCCCCTACTCACTAATCACTAATCACTATTCGCCACCCACTATTCACTACCCACTACTCACTGCCCATTACTCATTACTCCCTAGTCCCTACTCAGCACTCACTACTCGCTACTCGCTACTCACTACTCACTACTAACTACTCGCTACGCACTACTCACTTACTCACTACTCCCCACTCCCTACTCCCTACTCCCAACTCGACACTCACTACCCACTACTCACTACCCAATACTCACTACTCACTACGCACTAACTCACTACACTACTCACTACTCCCAACTCCCAACTCCGCACCCCCTGCGCACCTTCTCCGGCGCAGAAAGGAGAAGCGAGAGAGGCCCCCATCCCCGGCCCCATGCCCCCCTTTCCGGCGCACAGGGGGGGGAGGGGGAGGGGGGGGTCCGAACCCCCCTTCCCTTTCCAGCGCCCAGGGGGGGGGAGTGGGGGGGGATCCGAACCCCCCCCCTGTGCCGGTGCTGGCGCCGGTGCCGGTGCTGGCGCCGGTGCAGGTGCGTGTGCGGGTGCGGGTGCCGGTGCAATATTATGCTGGCGCCAGTGCCGGCGCCGGTGCCGGTGCCGGTGCCGGCGCCGGTGCCGGTGCCAACGCTGGTGCCGGTGCCGCTGCCGGTGCCGGCGCCGGTGCCGGTGCCGGTGCCGGTGCCGGTGCCGGTGCCGGTGACGGGTGCCGGCGCCGGTGCCGGCGCCGGTGCCGGTGCCGGTGCCGGCGCCGGTGCCGGTGCCGGCGCCGGTGGGCGAGAATCGCTCTCCCAGACCCTCCAAACAGCTAAGATTTTATCCCCGCGCTAAAATCTTCGGTCCGCTCTTGGATTTTATCCCAGGATAAAATTTTAGTTTTTGCATGCCAAGTTGAAAAAAAATATCCCCAGGATAAAATTTTATCCCTGCCGCTAAAATTCTTACATTTAGCTATAACAGATACTCTCACATGCCCCCTCGAGCCCTCACCTAGGGATCAGGCGGATCAGTGTCGAGCCCTTTCGGAGTCGGTGGGTCGGTCGGTGGGGTCTCGGGGTCGCGCGCCCTCGCCTGCCCCCCCGACGACAAGAAGTTCGACCACACCCCTCGGCGCGCCCCGCCCCAGCTCCGCGCGTGCTCGCGTGCTTGCTCGCGTGCTTGCTCCGTCGGCGCCACGCTCGTCGCGTCGCCGTGGTCGTCGCCACTGCCGCCGTCGCCGTGGTCGTCGTCCGTGCCTTCCGAAGGCCTCGCAATCGTCAGAGTCGTCGCCGTCGCCGCCGCCCACCGCCTCCGTCGCCGTGGTCGTCCCCCGTCGGCCTCGCAGACGTCAGCATCGTGACCGTCGCCGCCGCCGTTGCAACTGTCGCCATTGCCGCGGTCTCCGTGGCCACAGCCGTCAACATCGTTACTGTCGCCGCCACCGTTGCAACCGTCACCACCGCCGTCGTCGCCGTGGTCGTCGTCCGTGCATTCCGTCGGCCTCGCAACCGTCAGCGTCGTGGCCGTTGCCGCCGCTGCTGCCGCGGCCACCGTCGTAGGCGTCGCCGTCGTTGCAGTCCTGCCTGCCTTGCAATCGCCACTGTCGTCACGAAGAGTAGAATGAGGAGAATAAGGAGGAGAATAAGGAGGAGAATAAGGAGGAGAATAAGGAGGAGGAGGAGGAGGAGGAGGAGGAGGAGGAGGAGAAAGGATGGAGGAGGAGGAGGAGGAGGAGGAGGAGGAGGAGGTGAGGAGGAGGAGGAGGAGGAGGAGAACAACGAGGAGGACGAGGAAACAACTAATGGTGATGGGGGGGAGGAGGAGGAGGAGAAAGATAATGGAGAGGAGGAGGAGAAGGAGAAGGAGGGGCGAGCAAGCTGTTTTGGCTTCAAAGTTAATTTTGCCTCGAAGGAGGCCCCAGAGCCCCAGAGCTCGAGGTCATGTCCATCGACCAGCATGACCGTTCCCTCGGAGAAACATCCAGCCAGTTTGGGATGGACCCAGCGGTGTTTGCTGATCATGCCGATGATCCGAATTATTGTTATCGTTGTTGTGGCGACAATTTCGACAAGTTGATCCTCTTCGGCTGCGAGGTTTCCGTGGCCGCCCAGAAGGAGTTCACTCGCAAGTGGGACGTCCTCGAGATTTTTTCGGGCTCCCATCGCCTCAGCGACGCCTTCGAGAAGAAGGGCTACGCTGTGACTCGCTTCGACAAGTGCGAGTTTCCCTGGCAGGACACTTCTGGGGACCTCGAGGGAGGAATCGCCCCGAGCAGAAAAATGACAGAAAAATGACAGACGACAGAAAAATGACAGAAAAATGACAGAAACCAGAAAAATGACAGAAAAATGACAGAAAACCGAAACTTACAGAAAAATGACAGAACAATGACCGGCGACAGAAAAATGACAGAAAAATGACAGAAACCAGAAAAATGACAGAAAAATGACAGACACCAGAAAAATGACAGAAAAATGACAGAAAAATCAAAAGCAACAGAAAAAAACAGAACAAATACAAAACACAAGCAAATAACAGAAACAAAGACAGAAACCATAAGAATTACAGAAAAATGAAAGACTGCAGAATGAGGGGACGGAGGAGGAGGATGAGGAGGAGGTGGAGGAGGAGCAATATGACGACGAGGAGCTCACTCACCCGAGCTCTTCCGCGCCCCCGAGGATGTTTCATCGCCTGGCGGGTGGTACCAGCTTCTGAGCTTCGTTTTGATGCTCAAGCCTGGTGGACTTTTGTGGATCAGCCCTCCGACGGAGTGCAATTTCGGCCAGCTCTCCGATGAGCAGTTCAAGATCGTCTTGGCGACGGTCTTCTTGTTCCAGCTTGCTGTTCGACGCAAGTTGGTGGTGATGTTAGAGGGCCAGTTGTGCATGTATCTGTACTACCATCCGCTCTGGATCAAGCTGCGCGATGGCTACAACCTGTACGTTGCCGACCTCCAGATGTGCAAGTTCGACCCAGCCGAGGACCGTCGATCAGCGGGGGCGGTGGAGGAGGAGGCGGAGGTCTGTAGGAGGTTGGTAGGCGGGGTCGCCTCGGGGAGTGGAATGAACATCCCCGCGGAGCCCCGCGCCCTGGAGCACTCCTCCTCCCCCTCCTCCTCCTCCTCCTCCTCCCCCCCAGCCCCTACCGCCCCCCTCCCCCCCTAAAAAACAACAACAAAACAAACGCACAAAAAGCTCCGACCGAAAAATGACAGAACTGACAGAAAAATGACAGACAACAGAAAAATGACAGACAACAGAAAAATGACAGGCAACAGAACAATGACACCAAGTTACAGATGTGAAAACATTGTTCGGGCGCGTCTGCTTGCGCTGCCTCGGCCCAGGATGAGAGCAAGAAGATGGTGGCGACGCGGATCTTCGGCACTGAGTGGTGGGCCGGCTGTCTCGGCAACAAGTGCGACCACGTAGGCAAGCACGTCTGGCCCGCCGAGAGCATCGTCGAGTACCACATCGAGTTCTGCGACTTCATCGTGTCCAACTTCGAGGAGTTCCGCCACGCCGCGAAGCCCGAGTACGCACCCCGCCCGTACGTCGACAGCAGGTTCGACTTGTTTTGGCTCGGTCGGAAGCTTCTGGAGCCCGACGGCAAGAAGAAGAGAAAGTTGGGCCGTGTGGACTCGTCTGCGTCGGCCTTGTCTCAACCAGTTGCCTGCGTCAGCCCGACCATCGAGGAGATCGAGGAGATCGAGGAGATCGAGTCGGAGGACGAGAAGACCGTCCCGCAGGAGCGCGAGCCAGCGAGCCCCACGTCGGAGGTGGAGCAGATCGCCACCGACTGCTCAGCTGGCCCATCGCGCGGCGCCCAGGAGGCCGACATCGAGGCGCGCAGGGCCATCGAGAAGCAGGACGCCGAGCTCGCCGCGCGCATGCAGCAGGAGGAGATGCGGCAGGCCGTGCAGGACTCGGGGCTGCGCGCAACCGCACCCTATCATGTTGAGGCTTAGCCGAGGAGGAGGGAGGAGGACAATGAGGCGGAGGAGGAGGAGGAGGAGGAGGAATAGAGGGCGGACTAGAGGAAGGACTGGAGGAAGATTAGGGGGAGGAGGAGGAGAAGGATGAGGAGGAGCACGATGATCCTGAGAAATTGCAGTCGGAGGGCGCCCCAGGAGTAGGAAGAACAGGAGGGGATGGAGAAGGGCGAAGCGGTCCAAGTCGGGGTGAAGAGGGGGAGGGTGGCAGGAGGATGCTGAGAATTGCCGCCATCAGGAGCGCATGAAGAACGGCCCGACCGAGACCGCCGCTGAGCTGCCCCAGACCCGCTTCCCCAACCTTTGATGACAGACGTCAGAGGGGCGAGCGGCGATGCGGGTGGCACATCGTTCATTCTTCATCGATCGTTGCCGAGGCGAGTGGCACATCGTTCATTATTCATCGATCGTTGCCGTCCAGGGCTCCACTCGTCAGAACTCGAATCGTCGGCACTTGCTGCGCTCGGTTCGCCAGGGGTTCCGCCGTCCTCGCTCCACTGCTACACTCTCCTACTCTTGCTTCCTCCCCCCTTCCTCCCCCCCTCCGTCTCATCCTCATCCTTCTGGTCTGCCGCCTCCTTTCTGGCTCCTCCTGCCCTCTCCCCCCCCCCCCCCCTGGAGCACGGTATCACCCCATCCTCCCCATCCTCCTTATCAGCCCCCTCATCCCCTCAGCCAGGCCCCAGAGGCTGGCCACACGATGGAGGCGAGGTCCTATAAGTGCACCGATCCTGGCATTCAGAGGGGCCCCCGTGGTAGCCCAAATGCCCGACACCTAAATAAAGCCCTTGGTCACCCATATGCCCGCCCTAAATAAATGCCCGTAACCTAAATAAAGCCCGTCTAAACGACAACATCTTTGCTAAATAGAGCCCGTAATCTAAATAGAGCCCGCAACCTAAATAAAGCCAGTCTAATCGGAGTTGTCCGTTGCCAGTTTTGGCTCAACGCCATGCTAGCATGGCCAGACGGCGCAAACGCGCTCCCTGCTGGCGGTCCTCGACCGACACCGATACCGCATCTGTTCTTGAGCCAATCGTGGCCCGCACACTCCACATTGCGTGGAGAGATGGTCGATACCCTTCCGATCACATGCGGAGAAACATCAATGTACCTTATTTGGTTGAAGCTTCTGATTCGTTGAAACAGCTTGCTGCTCTCGATACGAGAGGAGGGTTCTTCTCCCAAGATGACATGAAACGAGCAGTGATGAAGGCATGTACCGAGCAGAAGCACGAGCAAGGTTCGATGAAGCTTGCCAGGGACATAGTGAAGCCGCACGGCGAGACTCTCGCTTTGGTGGCGTATTCTTACCGTGTCATGATGTCCCACGTTCGGGAAAAGTATGAGCAATACATCACCCTGAAAGCCAAGGCGTGCGGCTCTGGCGAAGTAGTTGGAGCCAGCCCATCACACCCGACTGAGCTCATCGAGATTTACGACATCTGGGAAGCGTCTGGCTTAGACCCCCGCAGAAAGATCGGTGGACCCGTGCAGGCTAAAAACCCATTCGTGAACTTCAGGGACGCTCCACCTGACACGTCGTCTTCTTGTTCTCACGAGTCCATCTCCGACGACGAGGTGTGCACGATTACGCAGGATGGCCGCACGTTCATTCTTGGCGGCAATGGGCAGCGGCTGTACGCAGAGAGGCACGAGCCAGGTGAGGACGGATTCGCTGTTGCTATATGGCCTGACGGACGCAGGTATACCACGTTGACTCCATCGAGCTACATCAAGTCGGACGGCAGGCTGATGGAGGTCCCAGCTTTACCGCCACAACCGAAGCCCAAGAAGAAGGCCACGGCGAAAGCCGAGGCTGCTCTCAAGCGGCCAGCCGCTGCCGCAGCCGCTGCCAAACGACCTGCGGCCGTCTCCCTGGTATCCGACGACGATGCGCCAGACGAGATGGTCGCAGTGAGCGATGGCGAGCTCGTCGGGGGCGATGGAGATGCACCTCTTGCAGAGATGGTCTTGGCTGCACTACCCGCGCCGCCCGCCGCCGAGGTCGTCGCAGCGGATGCGCTCGACGGCGACGCTGAGACGAAACCATGGTTACAGCGCACTGCAGGGCACAACATGAGCCAGACGATAATACTGAGGACTACCAGTAAAGATAAAGCGCAGGTCCTACAAGTTTTCATTAGCGAGTCTGACGACCCAACTGGCGTGGTTGAGAGCGTCATGAAGGATGCTGAGCGCCATCCTGATATTACGGCCCTTAGGGGCCGCGTGAGGGAGCTGCCCAAAGACAAGCTCGAGTCTGTTCGTGCTGCTCTCAGGAACTTGAAAGCACGTAGGCTTAGCTAATGCTGCATGCTCCGCAGAACAGCAGGCAGGTGCAAATAACAAGTCGTAGTCCTTCTCGTCCCCCTGCTCTTCCTACTCCTTATCCTCCTTCCGTTGTTATTCTTCCTGCATTTCCTCGCACTCCCCCGTGCGCTCCCATTCTGCCTTTCCCCCTCCTCTTCCTCATCGAAGGGGCGCAGCTTCTGCGAGAGAGATTCTCTCAGCGAGAACGCACGGCTTCTGAGGTGAAGCGCCCCGTCCTTGGGATGTCTGTCTGTCCATGGAAGCTTTCTCCCGTCCTGGATTTCGTCTCCGGAACTCGGCTGGTCTGGATCGCAGCCTTCCGGAACCCAGCTGTTCAGAATTCTGTCATTTTTCTGTCATTTTTCTGTCATTTGGTATTTTTCTGTCATTTTTCTGTCATTTATGTTGGCCTAAACAAGTGAGAAAACACTGTGTTTTTACAGGTAAAATCAACCGACAGAAAAATGACAGAAAAAATGACAGAAAAAATGACAGAAAAATGACAGAAAAATGACAAAAAAAAAAACAGCCAGGGCCCGAGCAGATTTTTGTTTTTTCCCGCGGGGAGCTGTCGGGAGCTGTTTTCTGTCACTGAGCCGCTTCTCTGACATGTTTGCGTCTGCCCCGACGGCCCCCCCCCAAAAAAGAACCTCATCTGTTCCCGAAGGGACATGACACAACCTCCCCAGGGGAATTCGAGTGAGGACATCCAGGGGAGAGGGGGGAGGAGGGGGGGGAGAGTTTTTGTCGCTGGATGTTCCACGCAATTGTTCCGTCTGTACCGACACTCAGGCTCGAGGTTTTGATGGCCGTTCCAGTTCGGGATTCCCACATGCGCAGAAGCAACCAGACGTTCTGAGAAGATGGTGTCCAGCAGCGATTCCGAGCCCTTGAGCAAGCCTACGGTGATGAAGAGACCGTCTGCCGCCATGAGAGCTCCTTCTACGCCTGCTGCGCTATCCGACTCTGCTGCAAAGCCAAAGCGGAAGAAAGGTGGGAAGGCTTCTGACGATGACTCAGCCGAGCGAGATGTGAATGCGAAGAAGCCTAGGAAGCAGGGAGCACCAGCACACAAGAGGCCCGCAGCCGCAGGGACTTCGCCGAAGGACCCGCAGGACACCCTGATGCAGCCGAAGGAAGAGCCAGAGGACGAGGCGCCCGAGGACACGCCTGTCAGGACGCCCACCGCCAAGGCCAAGTCCAAGGTCAAGATGGAGTTGCCTGCCGAGATGGACGATACGCCGCTGAGCGAAGCGGAGATGACAGAACTGGCCAACCTCGGGAGCAAGAAGGACTCCAAGCCGATGGCGGCGGCCAAGGCGACGCTTCGTGAGAAGGGCGTGGATTTGGCAACACTTACGCCACAGCAACTCAAGGAGACGCTTGGAGATGCTAAGATGAAGTCGCTGTTCTCCGCATATGGCTACACTCTCAAGACCAACGCCCCCACCCTGTACGAGCGGTACGACAAGGGCGGAGACGTCGAGCGCAGGCAGTGGCTCACCCGTTTCATCATGGACGCGAGCAGCGGGGGCCACCAGGGCAAGGCCACGGTCAGTGTCAACCAGAGCACGAAGCACGTGGCCGACGAAGAGTGGCTGACTGAGGAACAATTGGCCAGCCCACTCTACATGAACTCGAAACATCACGCGTCCATCATAATCCGCTGCCTCGAGGAGCGCCCGCACAGGATGAAGGCCCTGGCAGACCTCGGCGTGAGAGAGTACAAGTACAGCAAGGAGATCCTGCGCAGGGTGAACGGCAGAGAAGAAAAAACCGAGATCGCTGCCGTCGCCGACATGACCGAGGGTGACTACAGGAAGGTGCAAGGAGCAACGCAGGGCGTCGACATCGCCGCCGTAGCCGACGGCCACGCCGCCTCCAGCTCGGCGCCGACGCCGACATCGCAGAGCAAGGCCGAGGAGAAGAAGCGGAAGCGAGAGGAGAGGCTGCTGAAGGAGCTCGAGGACGCCAAGGAGAACCCAGAGAAAGCAGCTAGAAAGAAGTCGAAGAAGGAATTGGAGGAGGCCATCGGCAAGTCGAAGGCGTTCCTGCGCGCGTGCGGCGGCGAGCTGGCTGACATCCCATCGCTGTGCAGGAAGCTCGCGGCCAAGAACTTTCCCGAGGCCATGGGCGCGTTCATGACCACGAGGGCAGCGGACTTCAAGAAGACGATCGACGAGTTCGGCGAGAACGAGTACTCCGACGCGAAGGCCACCGTGCGGGGCGACGACAAGACCAAGCAGGAGCTCGACCAGACTGCGCAGACGCTCCTGGCCAGGCTCAACGCCATCCAGGAGCGCAGGTAAAAAACTACAATGCCTATCCCATGCAACGCATGAACACGAGGGCGAGGAGGAGGAGGATGAGGATGAGGAGAAGGAGGAGGAGGAGAGGAGGAGAGAAGGCCTAATGAGGACACTGACATATTCGTATTGGCTTAGAACCTGTCACAGCAGCGCCCCAGGAGGTGGCGGAGGAGGAGGAACGAGGTGGAGGAGGTGGAGGAAAGAGGTGGGGAAAGAGGTGGACGAAAGAGGAGAGGAGGATACCATATAACAAATGGAACACTAATTTCATATTTGAATTGCCCGCCCCCCTCCAGTCGTCCTCATCCGCCTCCTTTTTGTTGTTGGCGCCCTCAGAAAAGCTTCAACGAGTGG